GCCCCTTTACATGCTCTGTGGGTCTTGTGAGGGGAATTGTCCCTGGATCTTCTGTGCATATGTGGCTTTGGCCCCTTTAATACCAGCAACCAGCTCTTTCCTTGTACTTCTCAGCTCCTGTGAGTTAACAGACCTGAATGCAGTGTCCTTTGCTTTCAGCAGGGTGCAAACCTCTGCATTCAGCCAGGCTCTCTGGTTTGGGTAGTTCTTAACAGTTCTGATGGTAGTGATATCATCAGCACACTTGCTGATGTCACAGGTCTCTCTCTCTACAGGTCTCTGTTGTAAATGAGTCTTTGAGGCTCAATGAGACTTAGGCCCTATTTACACAGACACGATGGGGGGAAACATATTTTTTTTCGTATGTTAATTAGAGGAAAAGATTTGTGTTGTGTAGTATGTCAATGGACAGCTTTGCTGTGGACATACGGTCCACCATTTGTGTTATTTAAAACATGTACGGTCCCACCAAATGTAGTAGTCAAGGTGGGGGTCAGCCTTTGCTGTCCCTCCACTACTAAAAATTTAAATATAACGGGTTCTTTCTTTTTCGAGTTAAATTAATGCCATGTGACGGAGGTAACTGTGAGTATTGTTTAATCAGTGACAAGAGACGTTTTTTTTTTTTTGACCCATCAGAATAAATGTGGTCATTTATTTAACAGAATCAAAATTTTACATCAAAACATTGTACACAAGGATTTGTTGATCTGGTTCTGATTAATAAAACTTGTCACGCTTTACTAATAAGACAACAGGACATTTCTGAAGGCATCTAGAAAGATTAATAGCAAAATAGAAGAGTTTAAAGGAAGGAATTTAGAGGTTTAAAGGGAGATGGATGAAGGAAGGTGTATGTTGTTGACCAGAATTAGCACGCTTCTTTCAACACCAGCTCAAACCTCCGGTACACTTCAGGACGTGCAGAGACTTCGTTACCTTAGACGGGGATACCTCCGCTCAGGAACAGAAGTCCATTAGTATGATCCTTTTACAGCGTCTCCGGTCAGGGTGGCTGGGCGTCATCAGAAGTCGTGTGGTTTACTCCATTAAACAGACACGCTTCCTTCGAAGTTGTAGGCGTTACGCCCGGGTGGATTCACAGCAAGTATCTGTGACTCCGTCAGAGTTTCCACTCAGAAGTGGAAGACTCCAGAAGGCTTGAGAAGACTCCATCAAAGACTAAAGAGTCAAGACGACTCAGAAGAACTCCAAGACCTCAGAAGAACTGAGAATACCTGACTAGTTCCAGGAAGTGCTGACTTTTAAAAGAGTCTTCACTTCTGATCACTTAGTACTTCCTGATTGGTTGAAACAACCAACAGGGGGTGGTTCTAGTGATGTCAGAAGGTTATTAACAGTCAAGAGAGGGTTCAAGAATGTTTAGGAATGTTTAGTACAGACAGAGAAATGTTATGGCGAATTGAGACAAACGCAGATGCCAGTGTTTCTCTTTTTACCGTCTGCTAGGTTTAAAAACAATACAGTCCGTTCTAATAACTTGTTTTCTGACTGTCTCTGACTTTCGACCGACATCACTACTTCTTATTCAGACAGAAGATCAAAATGCATAATTACTTTGTAAATAGACATTTAACTTGATTTCTAAGTCTAATGAGGTTTAAAAAATCATTAATACTGTTTCACAGTTGATTTAAAATGAGTGGTTCACTTCAACATTTAGAAATAATATGAACTAAACACCCTTTTGATTATCAAGATATTGTAAAATAGTAATGATAATATAAAAAGAAGAGTGTTCTTTCAATTGATTATTTCAGGATACAATTAGACAGTCTCTGGATGAGCTAATTTGTATTTCTGGATTCAAATCAATGAAATAGCAGTTCCTGTCCCATGAAGGTCTTCAGAGACAGGTTTTGGTCGGAGGCCGAGTTCACTACATCACTACAGTTGACATGGTTGGATTTTGGGTTTACATGCATCCGGAGGAGGCCGCCCCCCCCCCCCCCCCCCCCCCCGCCCTCCCGAAGCCGCTGTAGTTACCATGTCGGGTCATTAGATGGCGATGTGAATTTTGTACCTTCACCTAATGCGCATGCATGCTGCCTCGGCACGCTGTTTTCTTCTGGGCTAAAAGCTCAGCTAACAACAACTTAACAAGTTAAAGCTGGATTCTGGCTGGATTTTGGATAAGAGTCGACAGATTTGATGCCAAGCGGGACCGCTTTGTCTAACAGCTCCACACCGGTCGCTGAGTGGACCATTACCGAGTCGCCGATATCGGACTTTATTCCGTGATAATCAGTAGCTGATTAACTGCAGGTAAATCAAATGTTCTTAATAATGTTTTCTTGTGTTTACTTGGGTTACAAAACAACCAAATGAGTTTTTATTTTTCCTGAAAGAAGAAGGAGCTGTCCTTCCACCAGGCAGACCGGTTCTGAACGAGGCTCGGCCCAGATGAACTGCAAGAGACCGTCGAAGACAGAGATGTTGGATGAACTTTTTATTTAAAATTCCCCTCAGTTCTTTTATTCAATCCATTGAATGTTTTAAGTTGCATTAATCAAAGGAGTGACTTCCTGAACGAGCCAGATGAACAACGTGGGATATCCAGGATGAAAACAGAGGAAGAGTCCAGTTCATTAATGCAGTTTACAGTTAACTTGTTTTTAATTGTGTGTTCAGTTTAATTATCAGTGTTTGTGTGACATATAGTTTGTGGTGTTGAATAAATAAATAAAATAAAAATTAAACCTTATGTCTTCATTTTCAACTTTATTAACATGCAATATGTTTAGAATCATTTTAGTCACATAATTTGAATTACATAATCTCCAGATAGCTTTATTATATATCGCAAACTTAAGATAAATACTGTTTATTATTATTAAACTTGTTATTTAGCACATAGTATGTTCTAGTGCAGCGCGAGGTGTACGCGTTCCTCGTTCTATAAACAGTGATATTAGGACTGGATCAGATTGTGTCTCTTGCAACACAGATGTTGGTAACAGCACCTGGAATCTGACGTAGATTAACTACGAGATTAAAAATATATTCCATCAGTCGTAGTTCAGAAAGCAGTGTATCCGCCGCCATGTTGATAGAAATATAGCGTCGGTCCGCGCGTGCGTGTGCGCATGTGGTTTAACACAACGCCTCAGCGGGAGATGTCTACATTATCAGCGGGCGGTCAGCAAAAAACCTCCACTCTGGAAGGTGGATTCAGAAACCTCCGGATTTAAAGAGGGGGGCCACTGGTGTCGTGTAAATGATCAGCAGAACTGCAGAGAGAAAGCTGCGGATGCACTCAAAATACGCGCCGTGTAAACGGCCCCTTAACCTGTATAAATAAAGGTTGAAAGAAAAAGGACCAAGGTTGTGTATTCCTCCACGTCTAGCTCCCCTCTCATTTACTGCAGCTTCTCTGAAGACCTGCCAGTCTGTGCATACAAAACAGTCTTTCAGTATGGAGTCACTATTCCTCATCCAACCCTTGACTTTTCTTTGTGTTGGTCTGGAATGTCTCAGCAGGGGGAGATAAGCAGGGGCCAGAAAGATGGAGATACGGTCAGCGAGTCCTAGGTGGGGGCGGGGTATGGCTTTGTTTGCAACTTGTACATTGGTGTAAACACAGTCCAGCATGTTATTTCCTCGTTTAAGAATGGTCACATGCTGATAAAATCATGGCAGGGTGCCCCTCAAATTTAAGTAGTTAAAGTCACCAGCCACCATGTAAAATGCCTTAGGGTGTTTGTTTTGCAGCAAGCTTATATTATCAAGCAGCTCCCGCAGGGTGTCTTTAGCATTAGCATCTGGGGCTATGTAAACAGCTACTACGGACAACGCCTTAATCTCGCAGTTAAATAATGTTGTTGGCACTTTACTGTTAGCTGCTCCAAAGTGTTGAAGCAAGAGTTGTTTATTAGAGTACAGTTTGTGCACCAACTTTTACTCACAAAGATGCATACTCCCCCTCCGCATGTTTTCCCCATTATCTCGCTGCACCGGTCTGCATGAAAGAAAAGTTTGTCCTCCAGCTGGAACGCTGAGTCTGGCATGTCGCTGTTACCCATGATTCCATGAGACAAAGTACAGCACATCTCCTCTCCTACACACCCACTCTCAAACGAACCAAATCCATCTTGTTATCCAAAGAGCGGATGTTTGACAGAAAGAGAGAGGTGATCGGTAGTCTGACAGTATTAGCGTTAGCTTTAAGCCTTACACTTGCCCGGCAACCGCTCTTCTTCAGCCAGGCATGGCGCCTCCTCTTTCCAATTGAGCACTCTTGCTGCAGCCTCCATGCAAAAGTCTTTAAGAGCTGTACTCTGCCGAGTGTAGTTCTAAGATTATTGTTGATTGCTGCTGTATTCCGTGGTAGATCCTCTTTCATTCTCATCAGTTCGGTTCGGCTATAATTCACACGCTTAAAGCATGCAGAGTCAGACTCGGAGTAGATTTCAAAACTCCTGAAAATTGGGATCGCACCAAGAGCCAGCAAAGCTGCAGCTTCTGAGAACGCATCCATCTTGACATTTATAGTGCTGGACTGATGTTTGTTATTAGACTTTCAAAATGTACTTAATCACAGAAACTTGGAAAAGGGTGCAGGTCATAGGTGTCTAATTTGGTCGTGATTACCAGTCTCAGGTCAGCTGCCTTTGTATTCAGTTCATCAAATTTATTAAATGGGACTTGGTACAAATTCTCAGATATTGGGGGTGATTACGCAGTCCTTGTCATAGCGCTTAGTGGTACTTTGTCCATTTCCAGGTGTGGTAGCAGATTTCACTTACAAATTTTGGAGTGTTGGATTGAAGTTGATTCACAGTCAGATGATTGGGTTTTGATGTTCATATTGTCTACATTTTTCCCACATACAGTAGCCTTTTTTTCTTCAGGCTTGTTTGTATAGTGTTAGGTTGAAAAGATTTGTTTTTAGCTATTTTATTTTTGGGGGTTAACGTTATTATATAAACACAAGAACAGAAATTATAGCGACTTCTCAAATATCTTATGTAACTGTGTACCTCCTTGGCTCTGAGTCTTTCATTGTCCACGTTGACGTCAAGTAGAGGACGCACTTTGCAAAAAAGTTTCCACCAGCTCCATGTGCTTACAGCTCTCAGAACTCTCAAGTTCCTCTGCAGACACTTGACCGCCATCTGCTGCACCTGTGGACACAAATAGGAAAAAAATCAGTTAAAACTACAACTGTGCTACCAAAATTATCCCTTTAACTTTGTGACAGTATTCTTTAGAGGAACATTGGCCATGTTAATTAAAACTAGTCAGACTATCAGAGCTATTTTAGCCTAAAAAAAAAAAAATTGAAATTAAGGAATCTTTTGTTAAAAAAAACAAACTGCATGTCACTTTAAAAAAAGTAAAATCAAACAAATGTTTGTTTTTTTTGTACAAAAATTATTGACAAAAAAAGGCATTTTCCCCAATTAGTATGCTCAATTATTTTTTGATAATTTTTTAAAACTTCCAGGCCAGAGTTTTGGGAAGACCATCTGGACCCTTCAGATCTAGTACCTGAAAATGAGGCCTTATTTTTGTTCAAACTTACTATTGTCTCTCGGCAGTTGAACATAGGGTATTTTGATTTTAATCATTTTAGCCTTTTTTTTATTATTATTTGCAGTTGTTTTTTTTACTCTATACCTGGTAGAAATGCTGTGTTCAGATTTTTCACTTTTACTGACAAATATACAAGGGAGATGCGGGAGCACGGTGCAGCCACTACTTTGGGGTAATCTAACACGAGTCGGCTATTGTCAGCCATGGCACTTCTGATTCTGCAGCCTGCATGCATGTGAAACAGCTTTTTAGTACCAAAGGTTTACTTGTACACAAAACAAGTGAGTTTTACTCTTTACATCCAAACAAAAACAATTTTGTGTGACCTCCTTGGACTCTGTAGTAATGTTTTGCCAGTAGAATGTACAGTTTCTATTGGCCAAATTGAACACATAGGGAATGAGATAAAAAGAAAGAAAAAAAACATTAAATATATAAAAATGCTCTATGAAAGCAGAGCACCACATTGTGGGCTAATATAAAATTTTTAAAAATGTAACAATAAAAATAAAACGTTACTGAGAGGAATGCATTATTTTTGGATAAATATGAGATTCAAATTTGTATTTACAGTGTAGTTTAGTGTGGCCAGTTTTCTCCCTAAAGAACATGAAAGTGTAATAAAATTACTGTGAGGTTATGAGAGCATTTGAAAAAGTTCTGACAAAATTTAAAAGAACCAGTTGAATTTTTAATCTTTTTCAGAAAAAATCAATTCAAACAAAATCCTACACTGAGGATTATAAACAATATCACGCTGAATGTCTGAAATTTACATTTATGTAGTATTTCAGGACAGCTTTGCTGTGAACACACTACTAATTAATTATTCTTAAAGCTAGGTCTCTCTTGTAAATGAGTCCTCGAGGCTCAATGGGATTTACCTGTATAAATAAAGGTTGATTGATAGTTCAAGCACAAAGAATATTAATTGTTTAATTACAACAGATTTTTTTTTTTTTCAAGTTAAATTTCTGTTCTGTGACCGAGATAACTTGTGAGGAGTGTTTAATCAGTGACACGAGACGCCATTTTATCTTTGACCCATCAGAATAAATGCGGTCATTTATCAGAATCAAAATTTAACATCAAAACATGTACACATTGATTTGCTGATCTGTTTCTGATTAATAAACTTGGCATGATTTACTAACAAGACAACAGAACATTACTGATTGAGACTGATTCATCTCTGAAGGCATCTGGTTTAAGAGAGGAGGAATAGATTAAAGGAGGAAGTTTTAGATGGAGTTATGTGTTGAACCAGCACATGGCACCCTTCCTCCGACATCTAGCTCAGCCCTCCGGTACACTTCAGGGCATCAACGGCTTGTTACCTTAGCAGAGGATGTTTCCACTCCAGAACAGAAGTCAAGTCAAGTCAAGTCAACTTTATTTATAGAGCACATTTAAAACAGAACCTGTTATCAAAGTGCTTAACAACAACAACAACAACAACAACAACAACAACAACAACAACAATCAATGAGTAAATTAAAGAGAAAAATATATAAACATATATATATACACAATACACTAATAATGATAATAACTGAAGAATTAATAAAAAGCATTTAAAACATAAGGTCACAGATTAAAAAACACTAGAACAATTTACACTGTATGAAATGCCTGAGAGAACAGATGTGTTTTTAGCAGGGATTTGAAGTGAGGAAGGGAGGTGGCCTGCCTGATGTTGGGGGGCAGGTTGTTCCACAGTTTGGGGCCCATGGCTGAAAAAGCCAGATCTCCTCTGAGCTTCAGTCTTGTTTTTGGAACAGCCAAAAGCAGCTGATCAGATGATCTCAGGGCCCGAGAGGGAACGTAAGGTTCCAGAAGCTCAGAGAGGTAAAGGGGTGCGAGGCCATTTAGGCATTTGAAGGTCGGCAGAAGAATTTTAAAAACTATCCTTGTAGGAACAGGGAGCCAGTGAAGGGAGGACAGAACTGGTGTGATATGTTCAGACCTACGAGTTCCAGTTAAAAGCCGAGCAGCAGCATTCTGGACAAGCTGAAGTCGTGAGATGGAGGCCTGGCTGATCCCAGCATACAGTGCGTTGCAATAGTCCAATCGGGTCGTGACAAAGACGTGAACTAGTTTCTCAAGGTCGGGTCTGGACAACACTGGCTTGAGTTTAGCTACCTGTCTGAGTTGGAAGAAGCTTTTCTGCAGAACAGAGTTGATTTGTTTGTCAAACTTAAAATCAGAGTCTAAAACCATCCCGAGATTTTTACCAGACTGCTTCAGATATGGCTGAAGAGAGTCCAGGTTGACAGGATCAGTGGTGGCAGTTGAGCTAGGGCTAAAAACAATGACTTCGGTCTTGTCATTGTTAAAACTTAAGAAATTTGAAGCCATCCAGGCCTTAATGTCATCCAGACATTTTAACAGAGGGTGAATGGAGCAAACACTTGCTGGTTTCACAGGCAGGTAGATCTGGCAGTCATCAGCATAGCAATGGAATGAAAGACCGTGTTTCCTCAGGATGGACCCCAGTGGGAGCAAATAGAGTGAGAACAGAAGGGGTCCAAGAATCGAACCCTGTGGGACCCCACATGAAAGAGGTAATGAGGCGGATACATTGTTACCAAGCTTGACACAGAAGCTCCTGCCACTCAGGTATGAGCGGAACCATTCTAATGTAGCACCTGTGATCCCAACCCACTGTTCCAGCCGTGATATAAGGATACTGTGGTCAACAGTATCAAAAGCAGCAGTAAGGTCCAGGAGCACAAGTACCACAAATTGACCAGAATCGTTTGAGATCATAATGTCGTTACAAACCCTTACTAATGCTGTTTCAGTGCTGTGGAGTTGCTTAAAACCAGATTGAAAAATTTCGAAGATTCTGTTCTCGTTCAAAAACTTGTTTAATTGAATGAAAACGCATAGACGCAGGAATGGGGTCAGCAGGGGAACCAGAGGGTTTCATCTGATCAACGACTTTGTTTAGAAATGGGAGTGAAATGGGTTCAAACTGTTTGAAGACAGGTGAGCAAGGGACAAAGACAGAAGGATCAGTTGTGGACTGGGGGATGGATGACCTAATCAACTCTACCTTATCAGCAAAGTATCTGATAAAGTCGTTGCAGATGTCAACGGAGGCCTCCATGCTGGCAGACCGATGCACGTTTAAAATGGAATTTACGGTATTAAAAAGAACACGGGGATTATGACTGTTTGAAGCAATGATTTGGGAGAAGTATTTGTTCTTTTCAGATTTAACGATGCTCTGATAGTCTTTCAAACATGTTTTTAACATAATAAAAGAAACCTGTAATTTGTCCTTTAGTACGCTCCCTTTTCAGCATCTCCGGTTAGAGTAGCTGGGGGTCATCAGAAATCGTGACGAAGTACTCAGTTCAACCGAATAAGCTTCCTTAGGAGTTGAGCTTTTAATGCTCAGGTTGAGTCACAGCCGAGGTAGGCTGTGACTACGCTAGACTGGAGAGACCTTTGGAACATGGTCAAATCCATCCGCTACTTAGTTGAGTCTCATCTCCGACTGAAAGTTCTAGCAAGACTGCAAGACTAAGACTCGTGAAGACTAAGACTTAGAAGCCTGAAGACATGATCAGTCTGTCCAACCAGTGTATCTGCTCGGTCCAAAGGTTTACTCAAATAGTCTGATATATTCACAGCCTCAGTACTATCAGCACATAACACTCGGTGTTCAAACCTTGTACATCCATGTAGTAACATGGACAGTGATCGACTGAGAAAACAGCAACAAACTAAAGAAATTAAGTCAAGCAAAATTCTAGAGTTTTAATGTAAGCTAATGTTTTCCCCAAAAATATATTGTTTTTGATTTAATTGTTTTAAGTCTGAAAAACAATAAAAACTGAGGCATCATCCTAGCCTGGAGACTATGCTCTTTGACTGATGCCACGGCTGATAAAGTACTAACTGACTGAATTGATGACTATCTGACAGAACATTATTTACAAAATAACCAGGCTATTCTTTTAAAAACATCTGCTTCTACTTTGTAATATCAATATTTGATTAGAGTAAATCTGACAAGGCCCCAGCATCTTAAACTTCTCACTGTTCTATCATTTGTTATATACTGTAGTAAATAAATAAAAGCTTCTCCAACTCTGAGCAGTACAGATCAGAGTTCAGTGAACAGAGCAGAAGAAACGCTCACAGAGACACACTGACCTTCAGCTTGCGGTATTTTTGACGGGCCAGGTGTCCCAAGCATGCTGCCTGTAGATGAACCAGCCAGCTGGTGACCTGATGATCCCTCTGCTGCTCCAGGTAGTGCAGCACGCCTCGTTTCATGAACACCTAAAACACAGCAGGAAAAATGATCTTTCTAGCTAGGGTAATGTAATATTTATCCATCTTATGGCCAAACCTATACTCACCCTGCTGCTACCCACAACAATACTCTTTGTATTCACATCCAACTCAACCAGCAGCTCCTCCACTGCCTGACAGACACAAAGGAAACATTAGATTTCTTCTTAGATTTAGATCTGTTTGTAAGAGTGAGCTTCTATGATTTGACTCCTCCACCTTTCTCTCATTGTGGTTGACAAACATTGAAGCGTAACGCTTCATAATGGGAGGAGATAAAGCCTGGAAATGACACCTGAAGTCACTCAAAGCCATGTGCTCTGGATAACCTGGAGACAGAAAGAAACAAATGCATTCAAAGTTTTGCTCTATTTTGTTTCTTAACTTGGATCTAGATTTCTTTTTACCAGAATCTAAAACTCTTCAAATCTAACTTTAACTGAAAAAAAAACATAGTATCCACCATGACAACGTTTAAAAAACAAAAGTGAAGCCAAAAAGAAATGTGTGAAAACTTAAGTTGACCTTGTTACACTAAATTCAAAGGTAAAGTAGGAGCCAGGGACTGCTGATAAGATGTACTTGCTAATTGTCCCAATCACGCCTAAAATTTGATCTCTACAGAGAAAATGCAAAAAACCCAAGAACCCCACCTGAGATTCTACAGGCCTCAGTTAACAGGGTAAATGTTTAATTTCACAACAAAACAATTGGAACAAGTGGCATGCCATTGTTCTCTATCACTGAAATATCTGGATATTGAATGTTTGTAGTTTTCGAAATTAGTGTTTTTCTGGACTGGAATTGAACAGGGACGCTGAACAGGAACTGAACCTTAATGGTTCTGCTGCAAGATGTTCAAGTGGGAGAGAGATACACTTTATATAAGAGGAGTTTATTTTATTTTATTGAGCATGCATCGGGATAGTTTATTTTATAGTTTATTTATTTGTTTTTGCTTGTCCAAGGGAGCACAGGGTGAGTTTCTGGCGACCACAGGGAGTGATTTTATCCAACACCAAGCACAATAGCAGAGCAAGGAGGGGAGCATAGCTCAATCTTTAGCCACCCTATGGACCACTATAATCACTTGAGGAAACTATGCTTTCTAGTTTATATAGTGTGTAGAGATATACTTGCGTCCCTGAATGTCATTTTATAACATACTTTTATTTCTGTAACTGAGTAGTTTATTCTGTAAAGATGCTGGTGAAGATTCTCAGTCATCCAGGACATGATGAATTCAAAAAGCGTTCAATACAAAAACAACTGGACTTTATTTGTAACAGAAGACGTTTCGCTCCTCATCCGAGGAGCTTTCTCAATTCAAAGAGCAGAGAGTGAGAGATACAGGTTATAAGGCTGAGTGAGATAACACACACACACACACACACATAAGACACACACACACATAAGACACACACACACACACACATACTGTATATGTAGATTGGCAGTTCACACCTAAAAAAAAAAAACACCTAAACAGTAGGTCTTTGTTCCTCTAATTCACAGTCGAGGCCCCTCTGTTCCCATCAGGTGTGAAAACCGGCTGGGGATCTGTTTTAAAGTTGCATTATATGTTTTTGAAAGTGGGAATCTGAGGCCTCCTCCTGTTAAGAGACGGCTTTTCTCTTTTTACATAAATTGCTTCCTTCACCCCCCTCTCAAACCATCTGTGTTCTCGGTCCAAAATGTGCACATTTTGGTCCTCAAAAGAGTGTCCCTTATCTGTGAGGTGGAGGTGAACTGCGGAATTTTGTCTAGAGGAGGTGGCTCTCCTGTGTTGAGTCATGCGTCTGTGAAGAGGCTGTTTAGTTTCTCCAATGTAGAGGTCTGGACAGTCCTCGCTGCACTGGACCGCATACACTACACCACTCTGTTTGTGTATGGGTGTTTTGTCCTTAGGGTGGACCAGCCTCTGTCTGAGAGTCCTGCTGGGTTTGAAATGTACTGGAATCTTGTGTTTGTTGAAGATCCTTCTGAATTTCTCTGATACTCCAGCAACATAAGGGATGACAATGTTTTTACGTCTGCTGTTCTCCTTTTTCTGTTTATTGGTGTGTTTTGTAGATTTCCTCACTGACTTGACAAAAGCCCAGTTAGGATATCCACATGTTTGAAGAGCTTCTTGAACGTGTTTCAGTTCCTTTTCCTTCCCTTCTGTCTTTGTGGGGACACATTCGGCCTGATGTTGTAAAGTTAACATCGGGCTGAATGCGTCCCCACAAAGACAGAAGGGAAGGAAAAGGAACTGAAACACGTTCAAAAAGCTCTTTAAACATGTGGATATCCTAACTGGGTTTTTGTCAAGTCAGTGAGGAAATCTACAAAACACACCAATAAACAGAAAAAGGAGAACAGCAGACGTAAAAACATTGTCATCCCTTATGTTGCTGGAGTATCAGAGAAATTCAGAAGGATCTTCAACAAACACAAGATTCCAGTACATTTCAAACCCAGCAGGACTCTCAGACAGAGGCTGGTCCACCCTAAGGACAAAACACCCATACACAAACAGAGTGGTGTAGTGTATGCGGTCCAGTGCAGCGAGGACTGTCCAGACCTCTACATTGGAGAAACTAAACAGCCTCTTCACAGACGCATGACTCAACACAGGAGAGCCACCTCCTCTAGACAAAATTCCGCAGTTCACCTCCACCTCACAGATAAGGGACACTCTTTTGAGGACCAAAATGTGCACATTTTGGACCGAGAACACAGATGGTTTGAGAGGGGGGTGAAGGAAGCAATTTATGTAAAAAGAGAAAAGCCGTCTCTTAACAGGAGGAGGCCTCAGATTCCCACTTTCAAAAACATATAATGCAACTTTAAAACAGATCCCCAGCCGGTTTTCACACCTGATGGGAACAGAGGGGCCTCGACTGTGAATTAGAGGAACAAAGACCTACTGTTTAGGTTTTTTTAGGTGTGAACTGCCAATCTACATATACAGTATGTGTGTGTGTGTGTGTGTCTTATGTGTGTGTGTCTTATCTCACTCAGCCTTATAACCTGTATCTCTCACTCTCTGCTCTTTGAATTGAGAAAGCTCCTCGGATGAGGAGCGAAACATCTTCTGTTACCAATAAAGTCCAGTTGTTTTTGTATTGAATGCTTTTTGAATTCTGTAAAGATGTTTCTGAAAAAGAAAAAAAAAGAAACTCCTCTCCCTCGAACAACTGAGACATTCCATCCCCGTTTCAGCTTTTGGGACAGTTTAAACCTTGTTTTCAGCATCTCTAACTCTGTAAAGTGTCAAAAGAAGACTTTTATGGTTTGCAAGACAACCGAAGATCCAATAAATCTGAATAATATTGGAACACCCTTTCTGTGAGCCCCAAAAATGGACGTTTGAGTTAACACAGATCACCCAGGATGTCCTAGTATCAACTTGTACCAGCCTCCAACCAACGATCGTAAATAACAGAAAGCCTTGTCTCTGTTCAAAGGAATTCCAGCCTTGACACTTGGGTCCCTTTCTTGCATGCAGAAAACGGACAGACTTTTATTCACATTCTAGAAGAATTAATACTGTTTTTCTGTAATGAAATAATTGTTTACTGGGAATAACTACATAACGTGCCTTGTTGTTTCTCCTACAGCTGACAAGAACCTGTGTAGCCCAAAAGTTTACAAACTTGTTTTCTGTTTATAAGGTTAACAAAGTGTTTGTATTGGTTTTAACCTCATTCAAAGTTGATGTGTCTTAAATGGGTGTCATCCTTGATAGCACCCTCTCCTTTCCCTCTCATGTCAATAATATCACTCGGTCAGCCTACTTTCATCTTCGAAATATTAATCGTCTCCGTCCTTCCCTCACTCCGCACTCCACTGCTGTTCTGGTTCACAGTCTGGTCACCTCTAGTTTAGATTATTGTAATTCTCTTCTTTTTGGCCTACCTCAGAAAACCCTCCATAAATTACAACTGGTACAAAATTCAGCTGCCCGTATTATTACACGGACCCCATCAATTCATCACATCACACCTGTTTTACAACAACTTCATTGGCTTCCCATCCCATATCGCATCAACTACAAAATACTCCTCTTACCTTCAAAGCTGTCCACCACCTCGCTCCTCCATACCTTTCGGACCTTGTTCACATCGCTAGGCTGCTCTGCTCCCCAGCTCTGGAACTCACTTCCACCTGATATTCGTAATACAGACTCACTGCCACATTTCAAAGTCAAACTCAAAACTCATCTGTTTAAAGAAGCCTACACTCTGTGATTGCAACTGCATTGTCTTATTTTAATTCTATTTTACTTGTTTTTACTGTGTGTATAATATTGTGTCTGTTTTTATGATTGACAATGTAAGGTGACCTTGAGTGCCAAGAAAGGCGCCTACAAATAAAATGTATTATTATTATTTTTATTATTAAATGGTTTTATTTGATGACTTTTTCAACAGAGCAGATTCAAATAATACTTTATTTAGTTGATAAAGTTCAGCCCTTCCATTTTGATTGATTCAAATCGACCACCTCTTTCAAATCAGAGGTGTGGTCAGTTGTTTACAAAAGAGGAAGACCTCTCAGATGAGAGTGGAGTAATGATGATGAAGAAGTGATGAAGACCTTCAGAGGAGGAGAAGTAGTAAGCTTTTAAGATACAACCTCGAAGAGACTTACAAGAAGAAAATGAACTTCAACTTTGGCAAAGTTTGATAGAACCCTCTTCAGCAATTCAAACACCTGCAGTTATCATCATCAAGAGTTAACAACATCTGTCCAGAACTCCAGGAGACGCTCCGGTTGACCATTAGAGCCAGTGACCAAACTAACGCCTTGATGTCAGGGATGTGAAGGAATTTCCACCTTCACATCACAAGACCATCTGAGCAGAAAGAGTCTAATATCTGGTGTCTTCAGGCCTTTCAGACCTGAGCTGAGAGTGGTGTGGTGACCCTTCAAAATAAAATTCATAACGAATTTTAACCATTATTAACCCTTTCCGCTACAAGTGCTAAAAAATACAGTTTACTTAAATGATTGCTGTGACTAGTTTACATATCTATAGCTGTGGCCATCTTGGATTTTGAAGTGGCAGCCCAATTTTTGATAGTGACCTTTCTTACACCTGGATAAAACCACACAGCAAAATGGAAATTAGTACCTCGCTTATTTTTCAACTTATCAAGTTCACAAGGTGGATGGATGGATGGATGGTTGGATGGATGGATGGATGGATGGATGGATGGATGGATGGATGAATGGATGGATGGATGGATGGATGGATGGATGGACGGACGGACGGAGGGTACTGTAATTTCTGGACTGCTACGTTGCTAAGCTGCTACGTATTTAACAGGCTTTGAACCCC